ACAACCACAGCCAGGACAGTTTGTGCTGCCTCACATCTCCAGAGCTCCCAACTCAAGGAATACCAGCCAATGCCATAAAAAAAGCACAGGCAAGAACAAGGAGCAGGAAAAATCCTCCTCCTGCTTTGTGGAAGTTGGTCCTTCCACGTGAGGATTAGTCCAGAGAGACCACTTGAGAGGGGTACAAATAGTTACTGTGGAGTTTAAGAACTGAATAAATGAATAAAAGATTTTAAGGAATCAGGAATGCAAATGAGCTGGTTATTCCCAGAGAATTCCACACTGGAGGGATACACAAGCCAGCAATGGGGGACTGAGGCAGATTTACCATCTATAGGCACCAATCTTTTCCAAAGCACACTCCAGGAGAGTCCAGTGGAGCAGCCACACTGGTGCTGGTGTCCTGTGCTGGTTTGGGCTGGGATACCCCCCAGGATCTCCTCTGCATCTCACTTCCTTCCCATGCCTGATCCAGCCTCTTCTCTCCTGCTGCCCCAGTATCCCAGTTCTCCATCCAGGACACATCCTACTGAGAGCTGCAGCCCCTGAGGGGGCCCCACCAGGCCTGGTGGCCCCCAAGGACCCTTCTGGCCTTACACCCCGTCAGAGATGACAGACCCTTACCCCAGGGGCCCACCAGACAGCACGAGCCTCTCCAGGTCCAGTCCACTCATCAGGACGTAGACTCCTTTGCTCAGGGCCCCCAAGACATTTTCAGCTGCAAAGGGCAGAGGAAAAGTGATTATTTTTGTGCAAAGCTCAGCCCAGCTGCTGTCTGAGGACCCATGTTTGTCTGAGGACCTGTGTTTTCCAGGGCTTGCAGCGACCAGGGCTGGTGGGAGGTGCCCCTGCCCATGGCAGGGGTTGGAATGGGATGACCTTCAAGGTCCCTTCTGACCCAAACCAGTCTGGGATTCTATGAAAAAGGACTGAATATCCTGCAGTCACATGAAATGGCCTCAAACTGGTTCAGCTTCCAAGGCCAAAGATCAGGAGGAGCACTAATGGCCAGAGTGCCAAGTGTGTTCACTTCCAACACTGCAGTGATGAGCCTCTCCAAGTTACCACAAAATGGAAACCCTGTTTCGATGAGAACACCCTGTTCCCTGCAGATGATTCCTGGGAGATGATCAGAGGACTGGGGCACTGGCCTTTCTGATCTCAGAGTGGAGGAGTCCAGTACAGTTAGAAATGTCAGATTTCAGCTGAAACTCTTCCACTTTGGCTTTTGGTGGTGTATGGGGAGCAGGAGAGCTCCTGGCTCTGCAGATGTGCAATCCTGGTTGTCATGATTCTGGATAAGACATCTCCACTAGCCCTAGAGAGGCTGGAATTCTTCTATCAACAAAAATAACCAGTGGCATAACAAATACTGCCATTACAGAGGCCTCTGCTGTACTAATTAGTGGGGTTACGATGTCCATTTTCAGGCCCTGACCCCAAAGGAACTCGATGTTACAGGCAACCCAAAAGCCTGTTGGAGAGTCTCCAGGGACAAAACCTTCCACAGGGAAAGCAGCTCACCCACACACGAGATGGGAGCTCTAATGGGAAGGAGTTTCCTGGGAAGCCTCAGCGAGGCTTTGGAGAAGCAGTGGTTGAGAGTTGGGTCCATGAGGCCGAAACAGCAGTGGCCTGACAAGGGATGTGCTGCCTCCCTGCAATCCAGCAGATTGCACTTCCAGTTCCACCAGCTCTCCTGGAGGCAGATAAGATCTGCAAAGCCCTCTGGGTCACAGGCTGAACATGGGTGTAATTAGTGATCCGACTTATCTGATCAGGCAGGAAACCGCCCCGATTGGAACCCAACTCACCGGGGACCTTGCAGTCTTCAAAGATCAGTTCACAGGTGTTAGACCCTCTCATTCCCAGCTTATCCAGCTTCTGGGCTGTCCTGAAACCAGGCATTCCCTGAAAGTCAAGGCAGTAAAAGCACATTTCAAATCTCAGTTCTGACAGACTAAGGAAAGTCACGAGAGGTCTGTGAAATTCCCCTGACCACAGGAATATGTGCAGGGTGCCAGGAGGGAGTCAAAGGGAACTGGGACCTAGAACAGGTGTAAGTGCAAGTGCAGAGAAACACCCACACATGAACCCCATACACCCATTTTCTAACTCACATAAATGCTATATAAATGAACTGTGTGGACAGCTGCCAACAGAGCCTCTCCTACAGCAAGGGTTGAAGTTCTGCCAGTAACTGAACTATTCTAATCACCAGGTTAAGTCCACCAGGATGCCTGAGCTTTTATATTATTTTATTAAAGGTTCCTTTTCTGCTTTTCAGGCAGAAAGTAGCTTGTCTTCGAGAAAGGGGCTGACAGTTCTCGAAGGAAAACCAGCTGGCAACAAACAAGGCAGTGAGGGATTCAGCTTTAACAAGCTGTGGGAATGGCTGAACCCACCCTCTCCACGATGAAGGCAGTGATCCCCCGGGAGGCCGGGACTGCGGTGATGTCAGTTTTAGCATAAACAATGAGCACATCTGCATCCGGCCCATTGGTGATCCAGAACTTGTTCCCGTTCAGAACAAAGTAGTCTCCTGCAAGCCAAGAGATGAAATCTGTTAGGTCACAACAGACCAATACCAATATCCCCACTCTGTGTATTCCCAAACAGGATTCACAGAATCCCAGGATCATTTAGGTCGGAAAAGCCCTCCAAGTTCATTAAGTCCAACCTGTGCCCCATCCCCACCTTGTCACCCAGCCCAGAACACTGAGTGCCACGTCCAGTCATTCCTTGGACACCTCCAGGGATGGTGACTCCCTCACCTCCCTGGGCAGCAGGGGACAGGCCTCACCTTTCTTATCTGCTTTCAGCTTCATGGACACGACATCAGAGCCAGAGTTGGGCTCGCTCATGGCCAGGGCCCCGATGTGCTCCCCACTGATCAGCTGGAAGAAAAAACCACCACAGGCAAAAGGGGGAGAGCAGCAGTGTTGTTTGTTCCCTCTTTACCCTCCCTGGCTGTTTTCACTGAACCCCCACAGCCCCCGTTCTCCGCAGGAACAGAAATGAGAGCTGCCATTCCTGGCACAGCCTGAGCAGGAGCTCCCTCGTGCTGAGCTCAGGGAACAGAACCACATCCCAGTGGGATGAGAAGATGACTCAGCTCTGCCTGAGCTAGACAAGCACAGCCCTGCTTGCACAACACACGAGGAAGATGCCAAAGAACCACGCAGGCACCATATGCCTCTGCCCAGCTCCTGCCTGTGCTGTGTGCTGCCCTTTTACACAAACTGGAGCTGGGGAACACAAGAGGCCAACGAGGGGGTGAAAAGGGCTGGAGAAGTTGTCCACAATGTTTTCACAGCCCAGTCCCCCCACACTCACCCCACAATGGCAGATGGACACCCTCCTCCTGTGCCTGCTCACACCAGGCTCTGGCAGAGCTGTTGCTTCCTCTTTGCTGTTACCTCATCCTGCCCTTTTCTCTTTGCCTTTTTTCCCTCCCTGTGTACTTTTATCCATCCTCTCCCCCTTTTGATCTCTATTTTTTCCTTAAAATGCAGACTCAATGCCTAAGGTATGTTCATCACTACTACTACTGTGAGTGCATCACTACAGAAGTTTTCATGATCTGCTCAGATCTAGTGAAGCACATCAAAGTGCTCTGTCAGGAACCCTGACAAGTCAGAGCTGAAGTGGCTTGAGGGGCTGAGGATGAGGCATGAAAATACACCTGAGCAACGAGGGCAGCTCGGGGTCACACATCTGCAGGGCGCAGAGTGCTCGGAGGAAGCGGCACTGCACTTTGCATGTGGCTTAAATCAAGTGTCTCGCGCTGATCCTTCCACTGATAAACTCAGTAGCTGGGGTTCAATGTGCTCATTGCTTTTCCACGGCTTTAAAAACTGAAATTCATTTACCACACTGGAGTCACGAACACCAATGCCCCAAACGAGGATGGAGTTTCACACGTAGCTAATTAGCAGGCAAGCCAAGCACTTGGGCAGTGAGAAATGGAGAACATAAGATAGGAAAGCAGTGGTTTTCACTCAGAGATCTCAAAACAATTTGGAAACTTGGAAGAGTACCACCAGGGCCACCTCAAAGCCTCTTTTAGTAACACAGCTCCAGCCCTGCAGATATGGAGCTTGGCATGGGAAGAGGGAAGTCAGTGTGGATTAACAGGACAACTGACCAGCTACAGAAGGGCAAGTTTGGCAAGTTCAGTATTCCCCAAGGTTCGGTGCCCGAATTCCGCCAGTGCTTCCGATATCGCACACTGTGAAAGACGCCCATCCCTGCAGCCCAAACTCAGTTGCTTCCCAGCTCTCCCCCTGCTGCAGCCACGGACCTTGGGCAGGTACTTGTGTTTCTGGGCGTCGTTGCCATTGCGCACGAGCTGGTTGATGCACAGGTTGGAGTGGGCGCCGTAGCTGAGCCCCACGGCCGCCGACGCGCGCGAGATCTCCTCCATCACCAGCACGTGCTCCAGGTAGCCCAGGTCAGAGCCCCCGTACTCCGCTGCGGAAGAGGAAAGACCTCCCGTTACCCACCACGCGCACGAGAGCCCAGGGGCTGGGCTCAGCCTCGGCCAAGATCCAGGACACTTGGAATGGTCCTGGATCTGCCACTGTCCCTGAGCCGGGCGCTGCTGGCTCTCCCCATCCTCTCTGGACCTCAGTTCTCATCCTTAAGGCACAGGGACGGCGTAATCAACCATTTACTTGTACAGCATAGTTTATATGCAGAACATGCACAAGGAAACGTCCCAAATATACTGACACTGCACAATGAGTCCTGCTTGTCAGCCATCCTTAGGTGCAAACCTTCATGTGACCATAAAGGTTAAATCACCGAGTGCAATCTCTGTTAGGTGAGAGCACAAAGGAACACAGGCAAGGTTTGTGAAAATCCACATGTGTTTGCCCCCAAACAAGTGAGGAATCCTCAAACTGCTCAAAAAATGGGGCACTAAAGACTTTTCTGAGCCCACAAGTGTGCAGCACACCAGAACTTTGATGAGTGGACGATTCAGAAGGAGAATGATGCGTAAGTGTAACTGCTGTGAATTATACAAAGAATGTGTAATTCACCAGTGACAAAAATGTGGATTTCAAGAGAGGATGAAGTGAGACAGAGCAGCACCGAGAGCCCAGCTGGGCACACTGAGCTGAGCCTAAAACTAGCGGCAAGGGTTAAAGGTCACACAGTAGAACAAGGAGAGGGAAGGCAGTAAAAAGAGAAGGCTGAGAGATGCATAATGGCCTTGAGCAGCCAACAGCCCACACAAGTATTTAGATATATACCTACCACACTTTATCTACACACAAACACAGTCCCTCGCCAGCCTAAATGCTTTGTTCTACAGTAGGAAGCGAGTGGCTGTACTGCTAAGGGAAGAGCTACATCAGGACATAAACACTCAGCAGCAGTGGGGGAGGAAACCCAGGAACACTTATTCATCACCAACGTGAGGGCTGCAAACAAGAGCAACAGGGGTAAGAGCAGATCTGTCTGTGTGCTCAGAGTGACCAAAGGGCTGAGCTCGGAGAGGTCCCAAATCCCTCCAGTGAACCCCACAGCCCACAGGCACCGCGTGCAGCCTTTCCAGCCACTTGACTTGTTTCAACTCCTGCCTTTATCTGCAGGGCTCTTCATCCTCTGGAATCTCCTCTCTCTACCAGAGTGCAGGGGTTTGCTATCAACATCCTAAAAGATGGGGCTAACAGTTTCTAATATATGCCAAAACAAGAGAGTTTTCTATTAGTTCCTATAAAATGGCTGGATTTGGTGCTTTTGCCCCAAGAGAGGCAGTAACTGTGAGCAGTCCTGATCCAGGATTGCTTTGCCCTGCATCAGGAACAGGAAGATGATCCTGCCAGACATCTCCTCGTGTAACAGAAGATTACATTTAGAATGATGCTACCCTTTCACAGTTACTCTGTATACATAACATACCTGTATTAGGGTTCCATGGTAAGTACATATTTGCATTTCTTAACTTAGCCCTTCGTAAAATAAATGGGAAATCACAAACAATACAGTTTGCTTAGTTTTAAAAACAAGAAAACAAACAGCACTTATTCAAAGTGCTCCGTTAATAGACCTGATCCACCAGTGCCCAAATATTTAACTGTTTATGCCCATGTAAGATCCCACACCATCTCCACATCCTAAATCCAAGGCTCCACCTCCTCCAACATACCTGGTGTCAATAAAGAATCACACAACTCCACAATCCAAAACAAGGTGGAAAATCCTGGGTGCAGGAGGGTTTGAGAGGTAAACCTTTGAGATCAAGGGCAGGACTCGTGAGGGGATGGCTCACTGATTGTGTGGGAAACTGCTGTAAGCCTCGAGCACATCATCAGAGGAGAAGGAAGGGAAGAGGGAGACAAACCAGGAGCAGCAGTAAATGGGGAAGAGGAAAGGCGAGAAAGCAGAAATGCAGAGTCTTCTAGCACTGAGAGAGGCAGAGATGTTATTCTGACATTGCTATTCAGCTGGATCCTGCAGAGGCCTTTGCACAGCCACATCTAGAAAACAGACTTGTCCACCGGGAAAGAAAGGCCCCATCAGGCCCTTCTCTCCACTCAGGGCTTCTCCTCATTCCCCTGCCCTGGTGCTTTCAGCATCATCACACTCATCTGTAACATTCACCAGAACACTTGCCCTGACCTGGACAGGGCTCAGTAAGGTTTACCCTCATCTTCTTCTGGCTGTGGTCAGCTCTCCATCAGTTATCTCAGCTTGTCAGAGCATTATTTTAGACCCTTTAACTTCTCCCATTGCAGACGAATGCTTGTTTTTTACCTCTAGTTCTCCTTCTCCCAATCTTTCTTCATGTTAGAAATACACAAACATGTTTGAGGTGCACATTTACATCTGCAGAAACCATTTCTGAGCAGTGCTTTTAAATGGTGATAGGCCATTTTGTAACCATCCAGAAGTCCGACAAAGGAAAAAGGCTTTGGACCCAGAGAAGAATAACAACAGTTTGGCATGTTTTTTAAAGACACAAAGATAGGATAGAATGGATGTCACATCAGAGACAAGGCTGTTATGGACTAAAAAGCAAGAGTTTAAGTGGTGTCTCCCAGCAGAAAGTAAAAGGTAGGAACAGACTTACCTGGAGCTGTGATCCCCAGAACTCCCAGCTCTCCAAGTTTCTTCCAAAAGTCCTACAAACATAGAACAAGCAATGAGCCCACACTGGCAGTCGGGGCATCAGGACAACACATTTCCCCAGGGAGCCCATTGGACACATCAGTTTGTCTCTGGGATATCACAGGAATGAGGTAAATCCATCGATACCTGTCGCTCCTGCAGTGCAGCTCCAGCCTTGAGGTCGAGAACTCAGGCAGGCCTGAGGACAGTAGTTGTGCTGCACGTGGCAGGAGTTGGAATTCAGTGACAATTCACAGGGCTAAAACTAATTCTGCAAGGACAACTCCTAAGAGTTTCTTTGCTCACTTTAAGTAAAGTTTCAGTGAAATAGCCCAAGTTCTCCATGAATAAAACCCTGGAAATAGGAAGAGTTGCTGTGAGCTGGCACCTAAAAATCTTCTTCCAGTGGTTTTTTCTCTATTCTTCTTCCAGTAAAACAGGAACTGGCAACTAAAGGCAAGGAAGCCTCCTTGGGAAGAGATTAAAAAATGGGAATGCTACAGCCATGATGTAACACAGTAGGAAAGGATGGTCCTCACCACTGAGGACCACATGTATCCTGGTGGGACCATCTTCCTGCTGCTCCTTCCCTCTGCTACACAGCACCCAGGGGAGCTCTCCTCACATGGCCTCTGTGTCCAGCAATAACATAAATATCAGAGGACAGTCTCCAGAGACTCCAAAAAGTATCATGCAACAGTTCTGGATGACACCTGGAGTGCCAGGGTAAATTTACACAATTCACTTCAAAGCCACACATATATCCCTGGAAATGCCTGCATGAGAACTCTGGGAAATCCTGGCACATGGTTAGAGCTTTCTGAGTCTTGTGGAGCTTATAAAAACCAACATTCAGATCTCTGATTTCCATCAGTTTCCAAAGCACCCCGCGGCACAGAACTTGTCAGGTTTATGAGGAAGGCAAGGTTCAGCTGGACAGTCAAAGCCCACGTCTCAGCATTTGCACACAACATTTTCACAACAAATCTGAGAGGAAACTCATGTCCAAGAGAGGGACTGAGCCAGGAAAACACAAACCTTGTTCAGGGGAAGGAGGCTGAACAGAGCCAAGCAGAAATCCCATGATAAGAACCTAAACAAGACCATTATCCCTATTATTTATTATTATCTCTGGGTTCTACCCCAGGGTGCTGAAAATTGGTAAAAACGTGATAAGAGAGGAAATCATAAAAAGGTTCTCTGTGGCTTTTAATTTTGAAAAGGTAATGCCATGTTTCTGTGGTGTGCAGATCCAAGAACCCCTTTTTCCACACACACGGAATACTTGCCCGCATGCCTTTGAATTCATTCTCCTGGTCAATCTGTTGAGCCTTTGGAGCCAAATGCTCTTGGCAGAACTTTGTCATGGTCTGTCTAAGCTGGGAGAAAAGGAGAGGAAAACCACACATATTACATCTCATCAATACCTCGTCATCTTCCCACAGGTCCTGCCAACATTCCCCTGCCAGGCAACTCCAGCATCCCAAACCCAGAAGCACAGGACCATGGACAGAAATCCACGGTTCAGCTTATTGGCTGGAATACCCCATCAAATATGCCCACACTTCCCTGCCTTTCTCTAAGCCCTGCAACCAAAGCATTCTCTTTCTTACAATAAAGAGATATGTTAAATTTCCATGTTAAATTCACCCAGACCTTGGATTCCAGTACCACTAAACAACTTTCTCCCCACTGATGGATTAAAAAACTTAAAAGAACCCCCAAAACCACATTAGATATAGAACAAAGAATATGCTGAGTTGGAAGGGAACCCCAAGGGTGAAAGTCCAACTCCTGGCCCTGCACAGGACACCCCAACAATCCCACCCTCTTGCTGAGAGCATTGTCCAAATGCTCCTTGAGCTCTGGCAGCCTTGGGACCATGACCACTGCTCTGGGGAGGCTGTTCAGTGCCCCACCATCCTCTGGGGGAAGAATCTTTTCCCAATATCCAGCCTAAACCTCCCCTGGCACAGCTCCAGCCATTCCCCAGGTCCTGTCACTGGTCACCAGAGCAGAGTTTGGTGCTGCCCATTGGGAGGGAGCTGCAGACCATGATGAGGTCTAGGAACTTATTATCCTAAATCTTTAGGCGCTTCGTTGGGCAGAACAGCCTGGGAGAGCTGCAACTCTTCTTTTGAGAGGATCTGATGAGACCCAAACAATTTGTTCCTTCAGTGCCCAGGTTTCCGGAGATGACTCCCGATACAGGAGGCCCAGCGTGGGCGCAGCGGCCGTTGGCCTGCTCGGGGCGGTGTTCCAGGGCGAGGAGAGCAGGTGCTCCAGGCGGGAAGGTGTCCCGGCCGGGAAGGCCCGCGAGGCCCACGTGCCCGTGGGCGCCGGAGCCACGCGCCGCGCCCCCTCCTCGCGCGGTGGGATTGGCCGGTGCCCGCCGCTCGCGGCCAATGGGCGCGCGCCGGGCCCGCCACACCCCCCGGGCGCGGCCCCCCCGCCCGGCCCGGCCCGGCCCGGCTGGTCCCCGGCGCTGCTCCGTGCTCATCCCGTACCTGTCGCTGCTCGGCGCTCAGCCCGTTCACCGTGTCGTCCACCGCCAGCCCCGCGCAGCCCCGCCGCAGCCCCGCCGCCAGCGGCCGCCGCACCGCCGCCAGCGGCCGCCGCGCACAGCCCGCCGCCCGCCCCAGCACCGCCGCCGCCATGGCCGCTCCTCGCCGCGCCCCCGCGCGCACGCGCGGCTCCGCCCCGCTGCCCGCCCGGGAGGGAGCGGAGGACTGTCCTGCACCTTTAATGGAGCAAAGTACCGACGGGACACACCGGGACACGCGGGAATCCAGCCACCGCGGCTGCACGGGGCAGGACCGCTGAAATAGGGGTACAACAGCAAACACAACCCCAGAACCCCAGTCCAGTCCATCCTCATGCCTCACATCGCCAGGAGGTGCTCCAGCTCATTGAGTGTAGCTGTGTGCTCCTTGATTTCTGCTTGGAAGGAGGAATGGTTCTCCAGGGACCACTGGCTCTCCTCCTCTGCTGATTTCCACATGTCCATCGCTGCCTGTGGAGGAGTCAGCGCACACCACGTGTTACCAACACCAGAGGAAGGAACAGCAAAACCATGTCCTAAAGCAGCTCCGGCCAAAGGATCTGAGCCCTTCCCCCTAAACTAGGCGTAGTGTGGCATTCTTTACCTTGGTTGCTGGAGGAAAACGTCAATTTACCCACAACCAGAATTAAGCAAGTCTCACATAAGAGCTAATCAATGAAATAGCTGTTAAGTCTCTTCCCAAGGACTGTAGAGCTGTAATTTAATGACCATTTTGGTCTGTGTATAGATAAGCATTGAAGCTGCTTACACCCTTCTCAGTTCCTGAGAGACCACCCAAGGTCACTGCTCTGCAACAGCTTCCAAGTTATATCAAATCCTCTGAATTCCAGAGTAACAACCAGGCTGGCAACTTCCTCTATTTATAAGAGGAGTATGACACTTTTCTTAACACATTTATATAAAAAAATGAATCCTACAGGTTTTCATCCAGTTCTTGTGGAGAACAGAGGAGCAAAATAACCTTGCTGAGCACCTACTGCTCATTGCCTGGTTGAGTCAGGGACAGTCTCACCTGAAGCACCTCATTCTCTTTTCCAGAGGTTTGGTTAAATAGCCTCAGTTCTTCTATGAGCTTCTCAGTTAACAGCTGCAGAGGAAAATAATTTTTAATATAATGCAAATAAATGTGAGTTCCAGCAGATGTTTCAGCATCAGGAGGGAAGGGCAGAGACACACAGACCTCCTCAAAGCTCATTTCAGACCTTTCTTACCATTGTCTGTTTCTGGCATTCCTGGGTCTCCTCTTCCTGCTCCAGAATGTTCCTGCCCGTAACTAATTTAGGAGATGCATTAGAGAACCTCTAGTGCAGAGATTACTGTAAGAACAAACAGCTTTTCAAAGTAACTTTCTATAGCAAGAACAACTAAGTTAGTTTATCCAGGACAAGGCCAACTACAGGAAGCAGCTTTTTCTCTTAAGCCACAAAAAACATGGAATTCCATCAGTGTTCCTTTAACAAGGAAGCACAGTCCAAATGTCTAATGAACAGTCACAACAGGAGAATGAAGAAAACATTCTGAAGAATGAGTACAAGGATGTGAGTGAAGCGCAGAGTCCTTACCAGGATCAATGTTCTTGCTCTCTAAAATCACCATGCAAGTCTCCTGAAACTTCTTCAGCTTCTCAACTTCTTGGCCCAGGCTGACATTCTTCTCCTTTAACTCCTTGATAGTGCTCTGCCATGAACACAGGTTGTGAGGGAAGCAGGTTTCCAAGGAGATGTCCTTGTCCTTGGTCAGCAGTACTGACACCAACAGCTTAGCAAGTGCTGCACTGGCACCACGAAGCACCCACCCCTCGCCCTGTTGTCTCTCCCACCACAGCACCCTTGCTCCTGCTTCCTGACAGGATTAATACATTTACCACATCCCCACACCACAGCAATTACTAGCAAAACTTGATCCTAGAGAAATTTCTCCTAGGCAGTCCTGGATCTTTTCTCCCTCATTTATATGAATAATTCATGCACTGAGGAGCATGTTAACATTCGGAAGAAAAGGGTATCGTATTTTTTAAAGCCACGGCATTATTCCCTACACAGTCCAGGTACTACCAGGACAAGCTGATCAACCTCCCAAGCTGAATGCAATTCTCCAAGAAATCAGCAAGCATGTGGATAAGGATGATCCAGCTGATAGTGTCAAAAGCTTTTGGAACATTTCCTAGGAGGTCTCAGAGGCTCTTAAGGAAATCAAGCTGTGAGATAAGAGGAAGGATCATCTCACAGACTGAGAACTAGGAAATAAAGGGAGATTTTTTACAGACAGGGGTTGCCAGGAGGGCCTCCTGCAAGTGACAGAAATGGTGCTGAGTGTGTCCTAAAGTGAACTGTAATGATGCAAATTCTGATTTCAAATCTAAACTTGATCCCAGAAAGTCAAATTTGTTTGAAACAGAATCCCCTAGATAGTCCCAACTCTCTCAGCCTTTCCTCCAGTCACTTAATCATCTCCGTGGCCCTTTGCTGGCCCCTCTCCATTACATCCATGTCTTTTTTGTATTAGGAGCCCAGAACCAGACAAAATGTCCTCAGTTTGGGCTCCCCAGTGCCGAGCAGATGGGAAAAAACTTGCAGAGGAGTACAAAAAGATTAGGCAACTAAGTGATTATTTACAGTTTCTCTTGATGTAGTGAGGAAGCACCTGGCAATGTCAAGGCTGTTATAATAAAATTCCATACAAGTGTCTCGTTGTGAACTTGAAATATTCTCCCACAGTGAGTCTGAAGTGGAATTAGAGCTCTAGTAACATTTCAGAGGGATGTAGATGCATTTTCCATCGCAATGCACCTGCAGCTCTGCTGATTCCCAGGTTCTGGCAGATACCACGAGTGACGGAGGAGAAAGCCCAGCCCACCCAAACTCAACTGACTTGTGATGGAGGCAGGAAAACAAGCAAGACAATCCTTAACACGACGCTGTAGGGATCAGAATATAAGAATTACTCAATGATTTATTCATCTATTCTGCTTTCCTTACCTGTGCTCCTGTCAGTCTGGAATGTAGCTGTTGTTTGGCAGTTTCCAACTGCTGATTCTTGCTTTTCAGCTCTGCTTCTAGTTTGTATCTGTTGAGAGCCCTGTAGAGTTAAAAAGCAAAGATTTAGGAGCAAAAAATACCAGTGTTGCACACCTTCTTTTGCTGACACAAACATGCCCTTTTTAGAAGTATTTGCTTTTGTTCCTGACCAACAGATTTGACTAGCAAACTTGGCAGGAAAGCTGCACGTGGGTTAGAGCTCATTGTAACCCTCTGTGGGTTACACTATGGCATGAGGGCAGCTCACAGAGAGGGGAGGAGACGTACCCCCTTGTCGCCGTCTTCCTGGAAAACTGCTCCCCTTTCTTGGCAGACTTCGGCAACCTTAAAAGACGGATAAAACACAGTTAGCAGAAGACCACTGTGTTGCTGCAGATCAAGTCTGTTAGTTTGACAAAGTCTGCAAAAATAAGCCATCTTTGGGACATCTGCCAAATAAGCCCATTGATATTTTGCTTTTATTTACCCTTGGTTCCCAGCCTTGAAGACACCATCCGCTGGAAGGTTTGAGCCAAAGTTAAAGTTGGGGTCCTTGTTGAACTCTGGGTCTGCTGCTTTGGTGGTGCAGTGACCTTTCTTTGAAGGAAAGGTCACTTGTGTTTCTGCAAGAAAATCACACCAGTGAAAACACTCCAGTCTGGAAAAGATCTCCTTAAGGTCTCTCAAATCTTCAATCTGAGGAAAATCAAAGTTATATTTAGCTAAAATGGAGATTTTAAGGTAGGAACAACTAAGAGCAGTCTTCAAACATTACCTAGGATTAAGCGTTCAGAACAAGCCACAGACAGGTCAGTATAGACAGCATTAAAATTACCAGGCTTCAACTAATGAGAGAAAGGGTGAAAGTGATAATACAGATGTGATAATAAAAGTCTCAACATTTACTATGTGATAATAAAACTCTCATCCATCATTCAACACGCCACAGGGTTACAAGCAATGCAGTTCGACGCTGGAAGCAAAACAAACATAGCCCACTCAAAACTCTGTTCAGAGACCTTCATATTCCAGTTCATTACGAGCAGATAATTAAATAAATAAAATAGCATTATAGAGAACTAGCTTTCCATGTGGTTTACTTCTCTTAAATAGCAGCTGCTTGAGTGTATAAAGCTTGGTTCACACAGTGGGTGTAGGAAGTTGTTTCGTTTTCTCCCCGCAGTTCAGTATATTCCCAATAACACACCCACGAACACATTTCCATGCAGTTTCCATTGGTACAGCCCAGCTCCCCTGACTTTAACGCTAAGCCCGGGTGCCGCACGTTCCTAAAGTCCCTAAATAGCATTAAAAGATCTATAAAGGCAAGAGACTGGAGGAAGCATCTTTCACATGCACGGGCCGCCGCCTCCAGCGGGCGGGGAATACACACGGCGGGAAAGCAAAAAAGAGTTAACCTAAGCGCTAAATACGCGCACAACAGTGGGGGGAAAAAAAAAATCCTTATCGTTAGATTTTGGCGCAGCCATCACGGGGCAGGCAGAGCCGCGGTTCCACGAAGGTGTGGCGTGCCCCCCGCCGCCCCGTCCCCCGGCCTACCCCCGCCACCGCGGCCATGCCCCCGCGGTGCTCGGCACGTACCTGCGGGCGGCGCGGGGCGGTGTGTGCCGCCGTACACGGGGATGCGGGAGGGCTCCCCGTCCATGGCGCCCGCCGTCCCCTCAGTCGCCGCCGCCGCCGCCCTCGGAACCGCGCGCGCCGCGACCGTTGGACGGCCGCGCGCATGCGCGGGGCAGCGGGGCCGGGAGCGCGCGCGCGGCCGTCGGGGCGCGCGGCGCGGCGCGAGTGGCCCGCTGGGGGGGCGCGAGGAGGGAGGGGCGCGCGCCCCCCCCCCTCCCCCCCAAAGCCTCAGTTTCTCGCCCTTTGTTGCCTCGCGCCCCCTCCCTCAGGGAAGGGGCTTCGGGCTCTGTGCGAGGCTCCTTCCCTACGGGGAACAGCCCGAGCGCTCGTCCCTTCCTTCCTTCGCTGCCTCCTGCTGCCTCGCCCTCTGCTTTGGGCATTCGAGGCCGGGAGAATCCAGGGGTTTGCGGCCGTCGAGGGGACAGCGTGGACGTGAAGGCATCGGGACACTGAGGGCGCCGGTGCCGTCTCCTGCATGTGAGGTACTGAAGTCGCCCTGCAATGCTGTGAGGTGAAAGGAGGCATCTGTATGACGTGTTTCTCGACTTAAGAGACATTTACAGTGCTTTCCAACGTGGTTTTTGTAATGCGTGGGAAATCCCTCCAGATAGCAATGGGCAGCATCATGCCCTCTCCCTCAGGGAAGGCGCTGCAGCCATGGCGGGTCCCCCAGCTCCGTGCGAGGCTCTTTCCCTCAGGGAAAGCTGGAGCACAATTCCTTCATCCCTTCCTTCCCTGCCTCCTGCTCCCTCAGCCTCTGGTTTGGGCACTCGAGGATCAAGGGCTTTGTGGCCCTCGAGGGGAGGTGTGGACACGCCAGAGCCGCGAGGGAGCTGGTGCTGCAACTTGGAGACAAGCTTGGGTGTGAGGTAACAAAATTGCCTTCCAGTGCTGTAAGGTGAAAGAATGCATCTGTATCAAATGTCTCCCGACTTCAAAGACATATTTGCAGTGTTCTCCAACATGGTTTTCATAACGGGTGGGAAATCCCTCCAGAGAGCAGTGGGAGCAGCTCCGTGAGGAGGGGGCTGCAGTCTGAGGGCGGTTCTGGCTGCCCAAACACCCTCATGAACACACACCACGACAATTTCACTATAAACAGCGAAACTGAAATATAAACAAAATACGAAAACAAAACTGACATGTTTGTTTCATATTAGCTTTTAAGATCACAGTCCTAATGGCTATCAGGGAATCACTGCCTGTCTCCTACAGAGCAGGGGCAACTTGTGGGTGTCAGAAGGAATAAGTATTTTTAAGATGTATACTTTCCTTTAGAAAATATATTAGGCACCTAAAAGGGGAAGAAAATAACCCCAGTGTTCTTGGTGAAAATGAGGCATCACACAGATTTGGGAAAGTTTGTCATAAACTTTTATTTTATGTCAACCTGTTTAGAGAATGTTTTACTTTCCAACAGAGAAAGGTTAGGAAGTGTTTATTTTCCTGTTTGTTTCTGGTAGAGGGAAAAAAAAGTAAAATTCGAGATTCAGTAGATATGTGAATTTTAAAAAGTTCTGTATTTGTGGGGAATGCCTTGAGTGGAAACAGGCTGTGAGGAGGACCCACAAAGCACCCGAGTCACAGAGGGGACGAGCACTCTTTTCTCAAGGGGGTAATTCGCACTGAAAATCTTTGGCAGTACTAGAATTCCTTCAGATAAAACAAACTGAAGTTGTTACTGGAAATAGATTTGGGCTGGATTCTGCAGCCTCCTCCATGATCAGGAAGAGGCTGTGTCAACTCAGAAGCCTTGAGGGGATTTTTTTGTAATATCTGAGTTGTTTTGATGAGGTCTGTGAACCTGGGCTTTGCATAAAGTAGAAAATAAAAGACTTCCTTTTCTTTAATTAACCATACACTTAACAATATCTAGATTGTCAGTAGTTCAGTTTTGGATTTTTTTTTTTTTTTGACATGAGCTCTCTTTCTCTGTCCTTAAATACCTGGAGCTTCACCTCGTTATTTCTCTCCTCTATGACCTTGACAAGAAACCAAAATCTAATGATCTTGTAGGAAATGACAAACCAGGTTTTACTCAGTAAGTCCTGCAGAACAGCTGTAATGTGGCACCAGACACTGGAGGGTCAGAGGCTTGTACTCCATGAGGATTGCTCTCTCATCCTCTCGCTAGCGTCAGATCTGCTGGTTCTGTGGAAACACAGGTGTTTGCACAGCTGAAATACTAAGAAATAGTCTCAGCTCTAGGAGGGATGGGAGGAAAAAACTGATATTTACAGTTCCAAGGAGATTTGGACTTGCCCGTTCCCCAGCAGCAGCTTTGCTCTCTGCAAGGTTTCAGCTGTTGTAGCCAGAGCTTTGTGCGCTGGATCGTTTGATCCAAACATCAGGCATGTCTGGTTGGCTGTTGGGTAACACGACTGGCCCCTCGCTCCCCAATCCAAAGCGATTTTTCCATGAGGAGCTGTTCTGCTGTGACGCTGCTGGAGACACATCAAAGACAGTCTCCCTCAGGTCCAGCCGCAGGGTATCTCTCTTGCCGTTCAGGTAGCCTCTCTCCGCATTTCCGTAGGAGTCAGACAGCTCCAAGGCATCGGGACATGAGCTGGCTGACTCAGCAAGCTTCAAGCCCTGCTCAAAATCACTGATCGAAGTCTCGCTGGAGATGTTGAGCATGTCAAAGGAGCTGCCGAGGGAACAAAGGCATCTGTGGATTTTGTAGATGTCAGCAGCAGGGAGGGGGCTGCTCTCTGAGGTATAGTCTGGCTGCTGCTGGGCAGTGTCACTGGAACACTGGGGTTTATTGAGCTGCCCGTCTTCTTCTGTGCCAGCTGGCTGGGTGTGGTCCAGCCCAGACCCGTCCCAAGCTTTCAGACCGTACTTTTGACAGTGACAATCTCGGCAGAGTCTCTCCCTGTGCATTTCTGCTTCCGAGGTGCTGGGCTTGTAAGGAGAGGAGGTTTGCAGGGCGGGACACTGGCACAGGCCAATCTGCTGTTCTCCAAGGGTCTCCTGCAGACTCTGTCTCTCTCTGTCCAGGGAGGAGTGCGTTCCCACTCGGGGGCATCTGTTGTCTTCAACTTGTATGTCTTCAGAGAGCACAGAGGGCCGGTTGGACAATTTGCTTGTGGAAGTGCTGTTGTCAAAACTGTCGCTGAGTTTCCTGGACAAGGGCTGGAGCTCATATTGTTCATTTGCAGTGTTGGACTCCTGGACCTTCCGCAACCGGTTTTGCTTCTCACTGCCACCACAAGCAAAGTTTCCGTTCAGCCCAGAGTCATCAGAATAGTCTTTCATGGTGTGGGCACAAGGCCAGAGGATCTGCCCACAGTTCTTCTCCGGGCCGAAGAAGCAGCAGAGCGACTGGAAGAAGAAGCTGGCAAACCCACAGCTGATACAATTGATCATCATGACGAATATCCCCAGCTTCCTGTATGCCAGGACTGTGGCAGGCAACATGATGACCCCTGCAGAGAAGAGAGCGGAAGCTGCCATGGCTGTGGCACAGCTCATCTGCTTCAGGGAAAAGGCCACTCGGCTCAGGCGGTCGGAGTGCGGGCACAGGTGGTAGGAGATGCAGTAGTTGACAGTGAAGTCAACAGAGAGACCTACTGCAGCTGAAATGAAGAGAGACTCCACTGCATTGAGCTGCCACTCCAAGAGGACCAAAAGGCCAGTGGTGACCAGGACAGTGCCTGCGATGGCAGTGACAGAGAAAACACTAAGGAGGACATTCCAGGTAGTGAGAAGCAGCACCACAAAGGAAACAGCTATGGAGAGCCCCATGACCACCATGGTTTCTGTGCTGAGACTGTGCTGCAGGTTGTACAGCTCTAGTTTACTAGTAAACCATCCGTTCTGAAGCCCCACGGGGGCAGTTTTCATTTCCTCTGTTACCCAGAGGCTGATTTCTTCATAGAATTGTTTGGCTTTGCTGTAGTTGAAGCTATAGTGGTAAACAGTTTGAAACTGCAGCACTAAGGCAGCGAGATTTCCCTCCCCATCAAACCTGAGGCCCAGGTCATACGTTTCTTCCCCTTCCCTGCCCTCTTCCAGGAGCATCATTTTGATGCAGTGCAGGAAAACTTCACTTCTGTAAGGGAAAGAGAACTGGTTACAGCAAAGGTTGAAGCTGTGGTCTCGCTGGGAGCACTGGCGACTGTCCATCCATCTGAGGAACTCCTCCATGAAGCACACAGTAGATTTTTGCTCTGTGTCAGGGTAATAGAAAGTTTTGTTCTTCACTTTTTGGCAGAATTCGAGGAGCCACTTCTGGGCATCCGGGTTTTGGATTGTGAAGGTGGTGTCTGTCACTAGGGTGCCGTTGCTTTTGGGGTTGAAATGGTCGCTGTTATCCACAGGCAGAATGCCCCAGACTATGGTGACGGGCATACGCTGCCCTTCTCCGTGCTCCAGCCTCTCAAACATGAACTGGTGGCAGTACTCGGAGTCGTACCTCTCAAAGGGGTGGCTCAGCCTGAACACCTGGACAAATGATGTCTCCAGGGTAGGGAGCTTCAGTTTGGGGTTGGAACAGGAAATGTAGGCACCTCCAATGGCTAAGGCAGCAAACCAGCAGATCCAGATGTACCGAAACTTGATGACGCCGCAAGGCAGAAGCTTTTCAAAGAGCAGCTTGGAGGTTTCAGACAGCGTGTTCTGGAGCCCCCTGAGGATGTAATGGAGGGAGAGAGCGACTCTCTTGTGGCCACTGTTGTTCCAGTAGGCTTCTGGCTTGTAAACGCAGGTGGTTGCAATGTAGCGCTCGTAGAGCACGGCCGAGGAGGGCAGCCAGGTCAGCATGAACAGCAGGTTCACCAGCACCAAGGTGCCCATGTAGACGGCAAAGCAGCGGATGGCTGTGATGTTGCTGATGTAGCTGGCGTAGAAGGCAGCGCCCGTCGTGAAGGACGAGGCCAGCATGAGATACGCAAAGTGGTGCATGGTTTGACTCACCCACTGAGCGAGCCCAGCCGAAGGGTTCTGGCTCTTGCTGAGGTTCCACAGGTCAAAGAAGACAAAGGTGTGGTTGGCACAAATGCTGCTGAGAATGATGACTGCTGTCAGGTTCACAAAAGGGAAGTAGGTGAATCTGAAGGCCACCTTGTACAAGAAGTAGGAGAT